AGAAGCGCTCAACACACTGACCCTTTCGACTCTCACTGACCATCACCACGGCCTCATCTGCAAATTTGGTAAGCTTCTACACCATCGACACCGGCCCCTACTACACTGAGATCCCTGTCCGAGAATTGCTGTTCGACACCACAACCGCATCCAGCCCATACGTGCACGAACTGATCGCTATAGAACAGCCCAGTCCCAACCATTGTAAAAATTATCAATAACATGTAATAAATCAGTGTATTCACTCCAGTAAACACTGCTCCCTACACTGTCACTATGTTGAAATGAACTGTAGTCTGAGCTGATCCCCATCTAAGTTACTATATGTCTTATTTGTGTCACTTATGTCCTTGTATATTATTTGTAATTCGTAACCACATTCCTAATATGTAACTGCTATTTTTCAGCCTTCTGGCTGCCAAAGCTCTTTCAATAAACCGTTAATTATTATTATTATTATTCTAGTACTACTACTTTGCTGTCACTCGGAATCGAGTATGACGATCATCCAGCTATGATATAATGATATGAGTTATTAAGGATGTCACCTAGGTTAGTGAGTTTTGAGGTGACTAAAGAGGCCGATACGGGACCCGTAGTGTTGTTCACAGATGTTGCACATGTGGGGGGCTACATCTAGTGCGGGAGGGGCGGCGGCAGCGTCTTTCCGGCGTTGGTGCTTGTCTGCCTCGGTATGCAGTCGGGATAACTCGAAAGTATTGACACCTTCTCGTGTGGTGCTCCTCCAAGCGTTACGGTGTGGAGTAATCGTCTCCCAGGTGAGGGGGTCGATTTGGCACTTTTTCAGGTTTGTCTTAAGACTATCCTTATACCTTTTCAGTTGCCCGCCAGCGTTACGTTTACTATTCGTTAGGTGATTGTAAAGTGGCTGCTTTAGCAGTCTACTGTCGTCCATGCCGGTAACATGGCCAGTCCAAAGTAGTTGTTCATGGATAATGGTAGCCTCGACGCTCCTACAGTTGGTGTCAGCGAGAATACTGGCATTTGTTCTCTTGTCTTCCCAGCGAACTCGGAGGATGGAACGTAGACTGCACTGGTGAAAGTTTTCAAGTGCCTTGAGGTGCCTCCTGTATGTGACCCATGTCTCGCTGCCATATAGCAGGGTGGGGAGGACCACTGCTCGATATACGTTCATCTTTGTAGATAATTTCAGCTCCCTACAGCTGAAGACATGGTACGGAGTCTGCCAAAGGCTTGAGATGCACATCTGATTCGATGTTGAATCTCTTCATCGATGTCCGCGTTGGTGGACAGGTGGGAGCCGAGGTACTGAAAGTGGGTTGAGCTGGATGGATGCCCCCCCCTCCCCGACACACGCACTCACTCACGCACAAACCCAAGAGAATTACAAAGGAGATTTAATGCATATGTCAGCCACACCGAGATGAGGTGGGGTGAACGGGTTCCTCGTGAAACACCAATAACTCTAATGCCCCTCTCACTTATACGGGCTCAACCTAGTATTAAATGATGTTAAAAGGTAATACTGATAATACAGAATAGTCAGGGATAAATTGCTAGGCTGAGCCACCGACAAGTGACGTCTGCTAATTAATTACGCCTGAAAGACTTGTCTCCTGCCCCTCACACCTGTGGAACACGGTTTGGTTAGTCCTGTGTGTGTGTGTGTGTGAGGCCACCGAGTCTTGCTCACCTGCCAAGGTAAACTCACCTTAGTGCTTCATTTAGTAATAAGTGCAGATTGTTGACATATTATAAACACTTTTTGGCCGCCTATTTTTTCACCTCTTGTAGATAATGTCTTGTGAGTGTGTGTGTGTGTGTGTGTGTGTGTGTGTGTGTGTGTGTGTGTGTGTGTGTGTGTGTGTGTGTGTGTGTGTGTGTTTGTGTGTGTGTGTGTGTGTGTGTGTGTGTGTGTGTGTGTTGTGTGTGTGTGTGTGTGTGTGTGTGTGTGTGTGTGTGTGTGTGTGTGTGTGTGTTGTGTGTGTGTGTTTGTGTCCTTAAGTGACTATAACGTCATCTTAACCTACAATTTATTAAGATATTGAGGCAAGTGTCGGTTAGGTTAGGTTAGGTTACACAAGGGTCTACATCTCACGGTCAGGTTTAAGGGTTCAGGGGAAAATAACCTCGGGTCCTTATCGAGGTGTGTTGGGTTAAGTGATCACCTACCTTTAAAAATGGTCCACTTGTGTTGCCGAGAGACAGTTCACACCACTAGCTCTGGTATGTCAAAGGTCAGCCGAAAGTTTGTCAATATAACAGTTACTGCAACTTTTGTTTCGTCCAGTTTATCAATATTTGGGGCACCTGGGCAGCGGTGTGTGTGTGTGTGTGTGTGTGTGTATCTTGACAGGTGATGAAAGGTGTACACATGTGTAATGATATTCCTGTATTATCATTTATATAAGTTCGACATTACAGGTGTAGATACAGGTAGAAGGTGTAGATACAGGTACAGGTGTAGATACAAGTGTAGATACAAGTACAGGTGTAGATACATGTACAGGTGTAGATACAGGTACAGGTGTAGATACAGGTACAGGTGTAGATACATGTGTAGTAGATACAGGTACAGGTGTAGATACAGGTACAGGTGTAGATACATGTGTGTAGGTGACAGGTGTAGATGCAGGTACAGGTGTGGATGCAGGTACAGGTGTGTAGGTACAGGTGTAGATACAGGTACAGGTGTAGGTACAGGTGTAGATACAGGTACAGGTGTAGATACAGGTACAGGTTGTTACGACCGTGTCGTATTTTTCTACTATTTTTTATATAACATGCTTCATATTTGTTTCATATTATTCCTGTAATGATGTGTTATATTTACCCTTACCCTGTGCTGTTAAGGCTTTAACTGTTATTATTTGTTCAAGCCCATCTTATTTCTTCATTTAGTATTGTAACAAGCATTCTTTGTTTCTCTAACGACCATCTGCATCGTTAAACGACCCATGTTTCACCGGCTGGTCGCATTGGCGGGAAACAACCTTATATATAGTACTCCACGGACAGAGTCCAGTCCAGTCCTCTCGTCATTCAGTTCACGTTCTTTTGAGTGACTCCCGTCACCTGTAACTTACTTTATTTTATTACCGTGTTGTTCCTGTCGCCACCAATGTGGTATATCTATGTGAGGACCTATTTATGTCTCTTATGTGCCCATCAGTGTTTGCTTGGTTACATTTAAGTAATTCGGTGTTGTTTCACTTTAGTTAATTTCAATGTTAATTTTTATATGTTTATGCAGTGTTAACGTAATCCAATGCTTTATTTTTATTCTTTTCATGTTTCGATGTTTAGTATCATTTATGTCTTAAAAGTTTCGATAGTGAATCAATTTGTTGCGACAGCCTACGAGGCTCTTTATTGTGTTAATATTTCATTTAATTTAATTCTTAAAGGTTTACTTTATTTATTTTTATTCCCTATTAATTTACTTCATGTTTTTTTGGTTACGCCTAGAACCTGGATATTAAAGTAAATTAAGAGACGGTAACAAGGTGTAGTTACAGGTACAGGTGTAGATACAGGTACAGGTGTAGATACAGGTACAGATACAGATACAGGTGTAGTTACAGGTACAGGTGTAGATACAGATACAGGTGTAGGTACAGATACAGGTGTAGGTACAGGCATAGATACAGGTACAGGTGTGGGTACAGGTACAGTTGTAGATACAGGTACAGGTGTAGATACAGGTACAGGCATAGATGCAGGTACAGGTGTGGATGCAGGTACAGGTACAGGTGTAGATACAGATGAGTGTAGTTACAGGTACAGGTGTAGATACAGGTACAGGTATAGATACAGGTACAGGTGTGAATACAGGTGCAGTTGTAGATACAGGTACAGGTTTAGATACAGGTCTGGATACAGGTACAGGGTGTGAATGCAGTACAGGTGTAGATACAGGTACAGGTTTAGATACAGGTGTAGATACAGGTACAGGTGTAGATGCAGGTACAGGTGTAGATACAGGTACAAGTGTAGATACAGGTACAGGTTTAGATACAGGTCTAGATACAGGTACAGGTGTAGATACAGGTACAGGTGTAGATACAGGTACAAGTATAGATACAGGTACAGATACAGATACAGGTACAGGTGTAGATACAGGTACAAGTATAGATACAGGTACAGATACAGATACAGGTACAGGTGTAGATACAGGTACAGGTATAGATACCGGTACAGGTACAGGTGTAGATACAGGTACAGGTGTAGATTCCGGTACAGGTATAGATACAGGTACAGGTGTTGATACAGGTACAGTGACATTTCATGATAACTCCTGTATTAGGTAATGGGTGTAAGGGTGAGGGTATACACGATGCAGTGACGGTCATTAGACAGTGTGTCATGGGGCAGTGGCGGTCATGAGGCAGTGACGGTCATGGGGCAGTGACGGTCATGAGGCAGTGACAGTCATGGGGCAGTGACGGTCATGGGGCAGTGACGGTCATGGGGCAGTGACGGTGGGCAGTGACGGTCATGGGGCAGTGGCGGTCATGGGGCAGTGACAGTCATGAGGCAGTGACAGTCATGGAGCAGTGACAGTCATGAGGCAGTGACAGTCATGTGGCAGTGACAGTCATGTGGCAGTGACAGTCATGGGGCAGTGACAGTCATGGGGCAGTGACAATCTTAGTATACGCGCATGATAAACATGAGTTTTCCTCTGACGTCATCACTCAATGTAAACACATGCTTGGTGACGTCATGTGCCGATATGAATAGTGACACACACACACACACACACACACACACACACACACACAAAGCTGCATGGGAGGTGGCGCGCGCGTGTGTGTGTATGTGTTTTCACTGTGTCTAGTGAACAAGTAAAACCCGCTTGATGTCATAGGCGCAGTGGACGTGCGCGGTCACGCCCTCAAAATAGAGTAACGGAGCAAGTTAACGTTTTCTGTTAGAAGAGAGGCGTTTATTCACGAGTGTGGTGTTGTGGTAGTGTGGTGGTGGTGGTGATGTGGTAGTGGTATGGTAGTGTGGTGGTGAACACAGCCACCTTCTCCGGCTCCTGGGTCACGAAAATCGATATTTGTTGTGTTACCATTAGTGAATATTGGTGGCCACATATTGTGTACTCACACAACCACCGACCTAAAGTGTTGTAACGGTTGTAATGACTGTTTGTTTTATGTTAACTTGATGAAGACTGAGGAAGGTTGTGAGTGACGGTGGTGAGTGACGGTGGTGAGGGGCAGGTGAGTAGAAGTGACTCTAAAGGTTCAGCAAATCTGGAAACGTGTTGAGCGCCTCGGCGGGTCCAGGTGGCGGGGCTGCCTCTAGTTTGCTACTGGCAGCCGTGACCGCTGGATCTCCCCCCACTCTCTCTCTCTCTCTCTTACTGCCAGCGCCGCCGACCGTCCGCCAGCCAGTCAACTAGCCACTTACCAACATAAGACTCTACCCCTCCCTGCCCTCCCGACCTAGTACAACCACAGCCTTTGGAGTGTCAGTCACTTTGTCTTCCACAACTTACAAACGTTTCCCTCGAAATAGATTTACCGAAGAAAACGGATTTACTTTGACGAAGAAAAACGGGGTGTGAGTGTTGAAGAAAAAGGGGGAACTTGTGAAAAAACAAAGGTAACCCAGGTGGTTGGAGGGTAGATGTGAGGATAGTTGTGGTGTTGGTAGCTCGGGTGGTTGTTGGATGTGGTGGTGGTGGTAGTAGTGGTTGTGGCCCATGAGAAGGCTCGAGGCCCAGGTCCCAGGCGAAGCAGCAGCTGACGGCCATGGGATGCCAGCTATCACGGGCGCTGGTCAGGGATCATGGCGGAGAGGCGGGGAGAGAAGGAACAACACCCCAACAAGGACCTCATGGAACCACCGCCCCCCCCACCCCTTGACCCCCGCATACCCCTGACCGCCAAGCAGAAGTTCAACATGAACAAGTCCTGGAAGGGGATCAGTCGAGCTCTTGAACCCACTGGCGTCTATATGTTCCTCCA